TAATTTAATTCTTAAGTTTATTTTATTCTCTACCTCTTCTTTAAAATTAGTCCAATCAGCGGATTTATAAGTCAACATGGGCTTATTTTGTTTCTTGGTAACTGTCTCAGTTACATTTAATATAACTGCAGTATGATCCGAATCCAAATCATAGTTATATTCCAAGCTAATGAAATTTGGCGAAATTTTCTTGAAAACTAAGAAGTCTAGCATATATGGAACTTTATTTCTATGGCCAATATAATTATATCAATAATTATATTGGCCATATAATTATAACAATATGGCCAATAAGGTCTAGCAGTGGACAGGTAATGACAACCAATCTCTTTGATAGCTTTTCTTAGCCCTCTTCCTCTTGTTTGGGTCAATCTAGAATTTCAATTAATATGTTTGGCGTTACAGTCACCTCCTATAATAAATTTTTCTTTAAGGAGATTCAGGAGATCTTTGAATGCACCACTCACGTTATGGACGACAGTAAAGTACACCAACATCGAAATTTTGTTTATAGTACTCTATTCGTGCAGCCACATATTGGCTATCGTGTATTATTCCTTATCAAAATTGCGCAACCACCTTTATATTCATTATTAGGATGCACCGCTTTATATTCTATGTAGCTATTTATTCTTATATCTGTTTGCTGTTTTAAATGTGTCTCCGTTACTAAACTTATATCAATATTTTGGGTCCTTCGGAATATTTCTAATACACGCTTTTTACTCAGAACGCCATTCGTGCGTTCCACGTCGCAATTCTTATTTTATCTTTGTCCATTATTTTTTATTCTTTTTGGCGTATCATGCTTATTTTCTAATCTGCTCAACCGCAATGAGATTTCGTTCATATTTTTTATCATATTTTGCATCATTTGCATTATATTTATATTGCTTTCAGCAGGTTTTTGAGGTGGTAAATCTCTTCGTTCTTTGGTATGGTTATATGCTTTACCTCTCGCCACCTGGGCCTATTTTATATACTGCACTCTTTTACTCAATGTATTTGTTTTTGGGGTTTTTTGGAGTTTTGGGTGTATTTTTCTGGTATTATTTTTATTTGTTTGTGTTTTGTTGTTTGTGTTTTTGTGTTAATTACTCTAATTTATCGTTAAATGAGGACCACCACACTTGATACATTGAGATAGACGCTGGCAAAACCTCTGTATGTGCTCATATTTCTGACACCCTCCGCACTGTGGAACTAAATTATTTCTTCTTAGCAACTCAATTTGAATCTTCATGTGCTGAAGTACAACTATTTTGTAAATTTTATTTATGTCCTACGAATGTTCAAAGATTAACATGAAGAGGGGAAGTCATAGTGATCTTGTTTTCTATATTCTGCTTTCTAATCTTATTACAACTTCAAGAACTTTAAAGCCCCACCCCTTTTGCTCACTTTTAATATCTTCAGGTTTGCACGAAGGATGCAAGCCTCTAGCTACCACCTTGATGGGTTTTGTCACTTTATTTTCATATACCACTCTCTGATTATTTATTTTCATATACCACTCTATGGTATACCACTGTAGTTTAGATTCATTTACTTTTTTTTGTTAATTCTATGTAATCTTGTTCTTGGTCAACATTGATTTTAAGTTGATTCATCATGTTGACCCTTAAGTTTATTTTAGCTTCTTTGAGCACCTTTTTTATATTTGAATATTCCTCCAAATTGCTTTATATAACAGGAGGGGATGTGATCTTTCTTGTAGTGTTTGATCTTTCTTGTGGTGCTCCCTTTTCTCTTAAGAATCCAATTGGTTTCTCGAGCCAGATTCTCCTCATCTATGCAGTATTCCACTGTGTTTGTGTAAACTTTTTCCATATCTATTTCTTTTATTGTATTTACATTGCTTGATTCCAATTTTAGCTTATAATTTTTCTCTCTGATATACTGAATTTAATTTTTTAATTCTTTACAAAGCGTTCCTAGCTCACTTATTTTTATTTTTAAGTGGCAGTTATTAGTTTTCTGATCTTTTATTTCATTAACTGCACACATATTGGTATTTTTCTGTTTGTTGTTTTTGGACATATATTTTTTGCTTTTACCAAATGGTTGTGTCCGCATGACCCGAGGTGTTCTTTTAAAGGGGTCGGTAGTAGGTGTTTGATGCAATAAGTGGTCTCCCCCAGAAACCGTGAGACCATCCTCTAAAGAGTGTAGATTTTCCAGATTTACTGGATTACCACCTGGGGTATAACATCTTATTGTTTTGTTCAATGGATTGGTTTTGTTTTATTTCGGAGCTTACTTCTCCTAACCTTTGGGAATAAATCCCTCGTGCAAGGCACCACGCCAAATTTCTGCCGTCCTTCAGGGATAAGTCGCAGACCAGACAGCCGTTCATTCTGGATCAAATGCTTCTGGAATTGTACTGTATTTTAATGGACTCTTACCGCAAGCATTCTTACTACGGTTATTTCGCCCACCCGCCAGGAAAGTATAAGTTTTAACAAATTTTAATTCATTTAAATCTTTAAATAACAATTAATTACTGAATTTAACGGCATCGGGATGTCTTCATATTTTTTCTTTGTGACCAAATTTGCACTCTATAAAGGGAAATATATTTCATTTCATCATTTCATTTCTTCATTTCTGGGAAAACTGAAATTATACAAAAAAAAGAACATTTAAAATATTTGTTTGTATGCTGCATTTTACGAGTATTAAATACAAACTCATTTTGCTTAAAAAAAATCCGGTCCTTGTAAAATTATGTTATACGAAGTAATTTTAAGGAATAGCAATTTGTAAGTTTTTATAAAGTAATACTTTTTTTTTTGCAATTAAATGTTTTATGATTTACAAATTGCACTAATTTTATAAATAAAATAAAAAAATCTTCTTTGTTTACTTTTTATACCAGCGCGGCATACTTTTCTAAGGAAAAAAAGAATAACATTTGATATTTAATGTTAATTTCATAATTAAATACGATGTTTTAGGGAATGTAAGCGAGGTGGATACAAAGATTTTCCTTTAATATTTCTAATTGGTTGACCAAAAGTGAATGATAGATTCATAAAAATGTGATTGTGAACATAACTGTACATTATACTAAAATTGTATATATCATATTCATGAAATAGTTAATTTTTCATTTTATTTAAACCACATCCTTTTCATAATCGTACTATTGCTATACTTTCGGCTATTCCAAAAGTCTCCAGGGCAGCCACCTAGGTCCATCGTTCTTCATCATCGCTGTAATAGACGTAGCGTGCGTTTTGAAGTATTACTTTATTCATTATTAATGTTAATCTTAAATTATTATTAATTTAAGATTTTCAAGAGGATTCGTTCTGTAAACGACGCAGTTTCTCTACAGAGTGATCTGGATAACTCTTTCAGGTCATGCACTAGTAATAACTTGAAAATCAACGTTAGTATGTGCGCGCTAAAGTGTTTTTCCAGGCAGAGACAGTCAATAATAGCAGATTATTCATTAAATGGAATTTAAACAATTTAAATTATTTTGATCTTGTGATTGACAATTTGTACCTGTTTGGTATTTTTTGAAATAGGTCAATTAACAGCTCTATAATATGTGTTGTAGATATTGTATATGTATGTATATTTTTTTCAAATTCAAAAATATAAAATAGTACAGATTTCCCTCGCTCAACGTAACTTCTTTTAATGTAATATCGCTTAACGTATAGATTTTTTGCGGCAAAATTAATCGTAATTTTTTTCACTTTGGCAACACTTTACAATTGGTACCTATAATAAAAAAAAAATTTTTTGTAATGTCTAAACCTGACAATTCATAAAATTTAGGAACACTTGATATGTGCTACCACCAGTAATATGCCATTTCTAAAGCTGACAAAATTGATTCGAGCATTAAGAGCAACTGTGATTTAGAAAAGAAATTATTGAGTTGGCAGAAAAATGGGCTTTACCGATGTTGATGAAACAGATATTAACGAACTTATGTCTAGATGAACTACTAAATACGGATTTGTTCAATTTGTTAGAAGTTGAGAATAGCAATAATGAAAATGAAGAAAATGTTTCACTGGAAAAACCAAAATTTGCAATTGAAAAATTGGAAAAAGCTTTTGAACTTCTGAATTCGGCTATTTATATTTTTGAAAAATATGATAAAGTTGAAAGAAAATGCGAAACCATTTCGGTTTAAGAAAATAGCAAAATAGCACTATGCCAAATTTGTTTCGCTTCTATTTGCTCGGCTTTGCTCCTTTCCAACTTCATTTTTATGGGGCCGAACTTTTCATCTATAGGTTTACAAACTTCGGTTATAATAAGTAAAATGGTTTGCTGCGCAAGAACAATGTTTAAATCTTAACTTGCATAAAAGTCTTTTGCTATCCATATTTGTTTAAGAAATTATAAATAATCGCCTCAATACTATACATACATTTAAATGTATGAATATTTTAAATTAATTCAAATTTTTACTTTAAAAAAACTGTCAGAAATGTCAAAAACAAAAAATTTTAGAAAATGCTGCCAGTTTAAATTTTTTACGATGCGTTTTTTTACGTAATTCCAAAAAAACTTGCGAATCGAGAATCTACTTACGCAAATTTGCGACTTTCGCATTTTTACATAAAAGGCCGCCTGGTTTAAAGTTTGGAGTTTAAAAGCTGTTGTGCATGAATTTAAATAATATTTACTTTTAAAATTTTAACAAAAATTATTTTGACTAAAAAATGCCAGACCTTTAAATTTTTTACCCAAATCATGCCAAAAATATGTAGCATAATGTTTTTAAAAATATTGTGCGTAACTACTTTTGTAATGTCAGATCTGATAGCAAATATTTACCTTGTAAGAATACGGATACTCCACGTAACTTAAAGTGACAACCTTAAGATACTAACAATACAGTGGGTAAGAAATGTTTTCATTTCTGAAAAAAAGAAATGAAGTAAATTCGCCTGCAGACGAAAAATCAATCGGGAGTACTGAAATAACGTGTAATTATGAGGCTTGGTTCAAATCAGTTTTATTTTGAATTTGTCTTTTAGATTTAGTTTGTAATGACAATTAGTGTTTATTCGTTGTAAATTGTGTCATTTTAGATTTGTTTTACCTCCACTAAAAATTTATTAAAATTTCTAGTATTGGATACATTATGCACTTACGTGTGTATGAATGTATTCAAGAAAAATCTCAAAAAAGCATTGTAAAGCTGATTTGCGGTATGCTTAGAAATTTTCACACTTTTGTAATTAGTTTTTATTTGTAGCAATTGAATTAGGGCACCGTTTTGCTGAAAGCCAAAATGCTGATTTTCCAGATAATTCAGGAGGTAATCTAATTTCAACGCCAGCTTTCAGTCACCAACATTGGAAAGAAGTCGGGGGTAAAAAAATGGTTCAGTATAATGCCACCAATAGCTTGGATGGAGTACCGTTTAATTTGTCGACTATGATTCATACTAATAATTTTTTCGAAAGTCAACAGTCAAAAGTAGATCACATATTAGCTGCTTTTACTAGATTAGCTTCGGTAGAAAATGCAAAAGGATACGATTTTGCTTTAGAAAAAAATGTAGTAGATATATAAAATTTGAATTTATTCAATGCTATCGGATAAATTATTCATACATATAGAAATACATGTACATGCATATGTACAAATATTTCCAAATGTTGCAAACCCGGGACTAAATTTAGGATTCGAAAATTTTTTTGAACAAAAATTTAAAAGTACTTCATTAATATCAAATAACCAAAGAAGGTAAAAAAAGTATTTATACACTACATAATGTGGTTGAACTTTTGGCGCTGAGTCTTATTAAAGATACCAATTTAAAATTTTGTTCAAATAAAATTTCCTTTATTCAAACAGTTTTTTCAATTTTGCTATCCACAAAAAAATTCTAAGTTTAATATAACAAAAAATAACATCAAAAATGTATTCATACACTCTGACATTAATGAATAAAATTTATTGCAAAAATTTATTTAATTATTAATAATATTTCGTATTGCCGTTTGCTTCTGTTACAGCTTTTAAGCGGTTTTTCATACTGCTCACCAATTTATGGTCTTGAGCTTTTATATTTCCCTATTCTTGTAACACTTTAAGGGATGCTGCGGAAGTAATTCCGTGTTTCCGGATTCGGCTTTCCAAAAACTCCCATGTTTTATTGGGCTTAAATCATGTTCGGAAGTCTGTGTTTAGAGTCGTTATCTTGCTGAAACATGTATGACCGCACATTAAGACCCAATTTTTCAGCATTGAGCTTTAAATTGTTCTATAAAATATTCAAGTAACCATTCTTATTCATAGTGTGGTTAATAAACGGTTACTCAACCAAGTAGCACCTATACAGTCCCATACTATTACGTTACCGACATCATGTTTCACTGTTGGCTCAACGTTTCCTTTGTTGAAATTTGCACTTCTCCATTCTTTTCAGTGGCCATCAATTCTAAAGATTTAATTGCCTTTATCGCTAAAATTACGTTGTTCCAGAAGTCATCGAATTTATTTATGTGCGTTTTAGCAAATTTAGTCGTTTTATTTTGTTGATGTTCGATATTAATGGGTTTTTTCTAATTGAACGCGACTTAAAACCGGCATTATGTAGAATATTTCGAATAGTTTGAGCATTGGAATTTTTAGCTTTGTACCCACTGTACATGTTTTTCATTGTTTGATATTAATGAAGTACTTTTAATTTTTCCTTAAGAATTTGAATCTTCTATGTGTTGTCTCACAGAAAAGGCCGAAATTTTTGATTCTTTTTTTAACATGTTGATATCACGCTGTTCCTTCAAACTAAATATTTTTGGTCGAACACTTCGGGGTTTTATTGCTGTTTTTCGATTTTTATAATTTTTTATAGCATGTTGAACCGTAGCACGAGTTGCACCTATACTGGCTCCAATTTTCTCTGAGATTTTTTCTCAAAATGTGGCTTTACAATTAAGTTACGCATGTCTGATGAAAGCTCTTTGCCTCTGCCCAAAATACTTTAATAATGTAATTTTGGTCAAAAAAATATATTACTATTGCAATAAAGTTTTAAATATTGAATTTTAATGAAAAAAAAAATTGAAATTTTGAATTTTTATCGAGTTTTTATTTCTCTTTTGGCGAATGAGCTGTCAAATCTGTGGAATGAAAATTGTACATACATATGTGACAAGCTTGCCGAATGAAAAATGAAATTCATACATACATACATATGTATGTATGTATGTATTGTAGTTGTTTTTATATTGGATATCATTTATAGTGATAAAATGAAAAAATCTAAACTATCTGTAAAGTATGTTTATAAAATTCTACAAATTATTGTAAAAAATATTGATTGTTTAATATTAATTTCACGGTGAAAAAACGAACCAAAAACAATTCCAGCATTTAAGTAAATTAATGGACAACAACCCCATTATCGTCAAAGGATAGAAACAATTGTCTTTGCATAAAAGCAAAAACAATGTGCGTGATATTAACCTTATTATTTTCGGTAGGTTTTCTGATGACGTGCGGTAGCAACATTTTGGATCTGGCGAATGAAAGCATTCGCCGATTATAGTTTAAAATATCATTCGACTCGCCTAGTCCATTCGACTCGCCTAGCTCGCTTCGCTGATCATAGTAAGGTTATTAACGACTGTATGAAAACTCGTTTAAGTAACGCTTACATAAATTTATTTTCAAAATTTGTAAACTTCATCAATTTCTTTTAAGTTTTCGGATTGCCCAAAGTATAGTCAATATCGCCGTTATTTTCATGATTTTTGGAAATAGAATTTATTTGATGATTATATTTTCGTTTTAATTGCGTTTTATGATATTTTATATTTCGTTTATTCTGGTGTCTGTCACGTAATTATTTTCTTTAGTGAAATTTTTTAATTTCTTATATTTTGGGGAATTTTTTGCTGTCTGTTATGTTGTTTGCCAGTTGGAATTGCTGGTCTTTTTTTGCATTGAATTTTTTTAGCCTAGTTAATTTTTCATTTTCATATTTAGCTTTTAAATTTTCTATGTCAGTTTTACCAAAATTTTATGTTATAAAGTCTATTGGTCTCAGTTTTGTTGTTGAATGTATTGTACTGTTGTAATAGGTGATTATTTTGTAAAGACGATCATTAAGATTGTCTTTACTACGTTCGGCATTCATAATCCTTAGATGCTCGTTAAGGGTACCATGGGTACCATGAAGCCGTTCGATATCGCTATTACCCGTTTTTTTGCCTGGTGTTGTTTAATTAATAATTCTTTGTTTAATACAGTCCAATATTAAGATCCAATTTCTGTCGTTCAGTTTATGTAAAGTCGCGTTTTTTGAGAATTTGTCAGTAGTTGTTAAATACATTTTATTTCTTTCAGGATACCAAATGTCCATGTGAACTGTTATCATTGAAACTATGTGGTGTTTCGAGAATTTCAAACTGTATTTCAGGAGGATTTCCTTCATGTTTCGCTATTTGACATATGTACATCACAGTTATTAATTACTTTTGTGATTTCTACTAAAAGTTTGAAAATAATTAGCTTTTCCAAGTTTCTAAAACACATCTTCAATATTTGGAATTGGGTAGCGGTCTTCAACAGTTATCTCATTCAATTTTCGATAATCAATGACAATACGCCATTTTTGCGTGCCACTGTTATCAACCTTTTTGGGAACTACCCAAATAGGGGCATTGTAAGGTGAATTAGAATGTTGTATTATTTTATTTCTAAGCATTTCTTCGATCTGCTTATCGACTTCTTCTTTATGAATTTGAGGGCATCGATATAATTTACAGTACACAGGGATTTCATTTTTCGTTAAAATAGAGTGCTTAATGTGGTTGGTGAAGGTTAAATTATCACCTTCCTTATAAAAATTTTCTTATTATTTAAAATTAACTAGAATTATTGACTTTGAAGTTTTCAATATTCGGTCTTTATAATTAATAGTAGCATTCAAAGCGCACAAGATATTACTTCCTATGAGACCGCCGACCTTTTCGTGGAATTTAAATTCTAAGAATTCGAGGAACATATTTGTTTCGTTAAAAATTTCGAAAGGAGGAAATCTACATTTAATATGTATATGAATATTGTGGCCTAAGGCTTTTAAAAAGTGTGTTTCTTCTTTAATTTTCTATTTGTATTGGCAAAGGTCCGGATTAATGATGTTCCAGTATCAATTATGAACCTTATAATTCAAACATTCTAAAACTCATTATATGGGTTTTGATGGGATTTTTTATTACTATATAGGGAAGCTGTTTTTGGCTCGTTCCCGAAAACTTCTAGAGGATTCGTTATTTGAAATGTCCATCGATTCTGGTTCATTATTTTTTTACAACTATGAGAAAATTGTTCTACTACTAGGGTTTCTAACATATTGTAGTCTAAATTAGTTTTTGTTTGATTACTAGATAAATTGTTTTTAAAATAATTATTGGAATAATTATGATTTCTCTGTTGCTTATAGTTATTACTTGTAGAGGGTGTATTTTTTATATTTGTTTTATTTTCGGTTTTGTGATCAAATGAGTTAGTATTAGAATAAGACATAAAATTGGATTTAAAAATATATTTAGTTATCTTGAAATAAACGAGGTTGTTTTGGACCTAATTTATGGTAATTTGTCTCACGAATTATATCGTAGGCCCTATCTAAAAATTGTGGGTTTCTAGCTAAGACAATACTCCTCGCTGTTTCAGGAATATTGCTCCTAAAATTTTCGAGAGCAATCCTTTTATTACTCTCGACCCTGTGTGTGCATCAAGTTATAATTGAGCAAGTAATAATTATTTAACCTGCATAAATATTTGTTTATTGAATTAAAATATTCCTCTATTGTAGTTTTGATTCTACAATAGCGTAATTTTTTGTTCTGCCATTTCCAAACTCAAAATTAATATTTTAAATCAAAACTGAATTATTAATTGAAAATTATAGTGAATTGTTTTTAATATTGAGAATTTGTAATACATAGTATTAAATTATTAAATGGTTTACTAAAAGATTATTAATGTAACATTAAAACGAGTTATTCACTTTTACACAACATAAAGTTATAATTTTTTCTGTAAAATATCAAAAATAATATTTTCTGCATCTTGATGCTAAACGTCTAAAAAATGTTATTTTTTTTATAATAAGCTTAATTTATGTTAATTTTTTGTGTTTCAAATCGATTACATATATAATATTTAATATTTATTGATTAATTGTATTATCAATATTGTAATATAATAGTATTTCTAATATAATTGTATATTAGAAATTATTCAAGAGTTAGCTCAGTTTAAATTGCACAATTGTAGCAATAGGATAAAACAATTTAGCATTTTTATCACAGGAATTTTTGGTATTATGTATTGGTATAAATACACTTGGCATGAATATCTTAATAGGAAACCAAACCAACTCAAATTAGACTTTTCTTACATAGAAAGTATTTTTAAGTAGAAAATAAAATACCGAATTAGTATATTTAAAAATATAATGTTTATTACAAAATCAAAAATAAAATATTATGTACATAATTCATGTTTTTTGTTGTGTTATTTTTATAATATTTAGTATTAAGTAATTAATTTGTATCGTTTGATTGTTGCACATTTCCTCCTTTTAAGTTTGCATAAAATTCATGGTAAATTTTTGGTATGTAATAAAAACACTAAATCCTTTAGCTTTGCTTCATTTATCGGTAAATTGGAATACGTATATCCAATTATATAATATTTGCTGATATTTTTTTATAATTTGTTAACATATGCTTTCAATTATTTTGTTATAGTTTTGTTATTTTGCTATTTTTGTTTATTTTTTATTTTGAAAAATATTAATGTTTTTAAGTAATTTTTAAATTTATCCAAAATTTTTGGGTGTGTTAAAAATTGCATATTTTGCTTTCAACAATTCGTCCGTAACATCCGCTTTGCCTGCTTTACTGTATTTTTAAAAACCCTTAGTTCCTTCTAATATTTATCCCGTTTTGATGGGCTACTACACTGCTTTGCCCAACTATGAAGTGTCCTCTTTTTCTTGTGAATTCTTTGATCCCACCATAGTAGCTTATTACACTTTATACGACTATTAGTCTCGAAGGACACGTGTCCGCATTTATATACTCAGCCGGATTGTAAATTGATTTACCTCTTTTTAATGGCTATGTTCCGGCATCGCAGTGGGTGATTCCAGAGAGTACCAATACCACCTCGCTTTCCGGGTATTCTTAAAAGGGGTTCCACGTAATGTTGAAAATCTGTGTTGAAACGTGTTCGCCAGTAGTCCGAGAGAGAAGACCTCTCTGCTCTCTATCTCATCTCATCGCAGTCGTATCATCTTCACTAAAATTATTAAAAAGAAAACGTTTTAATTCCTTCGATCCTAAAATACAAAATCTTTGTCTACTTACCCCCACTTCGAAGTACAGGTCTTAAGCTCCAAGTCCTGAATCCCTCCCCTCCCGCCAACCACAGTTCTTGAATGAGCGCTACATGGATATTACTAGCGCTTATGTATAATATTAAATTGCAAAGCAAACAAATCATTATATTCCAATTAGATTTGCTACCTACTTTTAACTCCCCAGCAATTTTATTTGGGCGTTTTTAATACGGATCAACTAGCTTTGATTTAGGTTAGAATATTTATAGCAAATTATTAAATTATAGCAACTAATGAGTAAACAGTCATCAAACTCGTAGATTTAATATTACGCTTTTTCATCTATGTAAACAGTATTTCAGGCAATCATCGTCCAAGCGAAAAATTAGTTGTATCCTTGACTAACTTTTAATACTGTAGACAGCATTTATTATGCCGAGGTTTTTTCTTATTTTTTATTATTTATTTTTTGGGCTAAAACCAGTTTCAAGTGGAAACGTTACGTTTGTTAATCAAATATTAATATTTTTGATGCGTAATATAACTGAATTATTCCAAAATAGTTTTCAAACCACGTACATAGCTGTCACCGCGTATTTCAGATTTTTGAAATTTTGAATGCTGTTGGTTCCTTAGGAGACAAAAAATAGCCACTTCGATTTAAAAAAACCCATATAAAATAAGGTCGTGCTTTCAAATTTCTCTCTGAGCATTGGGACTTGTTAGATATAAAGACATTAGGTTAATATATAATTCTCTCTCGTGAAGAAAACTTTGCTCACTCCCTATGAAGGACGAAAGGCTTCAAACGAATCCAAAATTTTTAACAATTTTAAATAAACATATTATATTAACAGATTATATTGAAAACAAAAATATACTAGGTTTGTCTGGTATAAAACTTGGAAAAATTGAGAAAGAGAATCAACATATTCTTTCGCAAAAGGAAAAAAATTCTTATTAAAATAAAAAATTTTATAAATAGGTGATAAACGTGAAATTTCAATATAGTTATCAAATATGAACAAATATTTTTTGGTTATGCAAAAAACCAAAAATTTTGATTTTTAGTTGTATTTTTATCTTAAAAGTTAAGAAAAGCCTTTTGTGAATCCATTTTGTTCATTTAATTTTATTTTTATTTAAAAACTTTTGAAAAAATTGTTATTGATGTTGAAAAAATTTCTCTTGAAAAATACAACCTTCTTTTAAATCACAAAATTTTATATTACAAAAAATTAAAAAACTTTATACATACATTGGGAATATTTAAACATCATCTTTCTCACTCATTTTTGAGTAGAAAGATATCATCATTGAAAATGTCATACAAAATTTCTAACAGAAATATTGAAATTAAAACAAGTAAAAACGTTTCAGTCGGTAGAAACTGATTGAATTATACCCTGCACTTTTCGTTATTGTGTAGCAATAACTCGAACCTGTGAAATCATTCTATAGAAACTTCACGAATATGTCTGGCCTATAATTGGACATCCAACTGCCAAGTTTCATGTATCTGACTTTATATTTTTTCTAAATTTTTAAAATTAGCTTTTGGAGCTGTATGGCAACTACCCGGACCTGTCAAGCAATTCCACTAAAACTGCACAAATATATCTGATCTATAATCGGGCACACAACTGCCAAGTTTCATGAATCTAACTTTATTATTTTTCCAAATATTAAGAATAAGCTTTTAGACTTGTATGGGGTCTACTCGAACTTGTGAAGCAATTCCACCAAAACTTCAGAAATATATCTGACCTATAACTCGACATACAACTGCCAAGTTTCATGAATCTGATTTTATTATTTTTCCAAATATTTAAAATAAGCTTTTGGAGTTGTTTGGCAAGTACCCGGACCTGTCAAGCAATTCCACTAAAACTGCACAAATATATCTGATCTATAATCGGGCACACAACTGCCAAGTTTCATGAATCTAACTTTATTATTTTTCCAAATATTAAGAATAAGCTTTTAGACTTGTATGGGGTCTACTCGAATTTGTGAAGCAATTCCACCAAAACTTCAGAAATATATCTGACCTATAACTCGACATACAACTGCCAAGTTTCATGAATCTGATTTTATTATTTTTCCAAATATTTAAAATAAGCTTTTGGAGTTGTTTGGAAAGTACTCGGACCTGTCAAGCAATTCCACTAAAACTGCACAAATATATCTGATCTATAATCGGGCACACAACTGCCAAGTTTCATGAATCTGACTTTATTATATTTCCAAATATTAAGAATAAGCTTTTAGACTTGTATGGGAGCTACTCGAACCTGTCAAGCAATTTAAACAAAACTTTAGAAATATGTCTGACCTATAATTGGACACACGACTGCCAAGTCTCATGAATCTGACTTTATTATTTTTCCAAATATTTAAAATAAGCTTTTAGACTTGTGTGGGAGCTACTCGAACCTGTCAAGCAATTCCACCAAAACTTCAGAAATATATCTGACTATGACTCGACATACAACTACCAAGTTTCATGAATCTGACTTTATTTTTTTTTTCAAATATTTAAAATTAGCTTCTGGAGTTGTATGGCAGGTACCCGAACCTGTCAGGCAATTCACCTAAAACTTCAAAAACATATTTGACCTATAATTGGGCACATGACTGCCAAGTTTCATAAATGTGACGTTATTATTTTGCCGAATATAAAAAATTTGCTGTTGGAGTTGTTTGGCAGCCACTCGAACCGGTGCAGCTATCCAATCATAATTTTTAGAGCATATGTATGTAGAATATAATTGAACACACGTTTACAAAATTTTATACGTATAGCTTTATTAGTTTTTTAAATATTTAAAATAAACTCTTTGAGTTGTATGGCAGCTACCCGAACTCGTTGTCCGAATTAGTCCAATACCAATAGGGTTCGTCCTTGGCACAAAAGAAAAAACTTGTGAAAGTTTGGTGTCGATAGCATTATTCGTTTTTGAGTTATCGTGAGGTCGAACGGACGGATGGACATGTCGAAATCGACGCCGAATTTTACGCTGAGCAAGAATATATATATATATATATATGTCCATATCGCAGATGACTCTTTCAAGTAGTTACAAACTCCATACCAAAATTAATATACCCTTCGCGAAGTGCAGGGTATAAAAGGGGAACCAAAGGAACCGAGCACTGCTAAAATTTTTGGGTTGCTCGTGAAATAAAATTAATAGGTACTACCAACGAATTAAGATGTTAAAGGAAGGAGCATCTTGAAATAACAATGAAGAAATATTTTTTCAAGTTGTCTCTTTGTTTGCTCCAAGTATTGTCAAAGTCGTGACAGCAGCGTGTCCATTTTATAAACTTGTGTGATCTCTACTATAAAGTATGTGTAATTTGTAAGAACGATAAATTAAAAATTTTTTTAAAGTAAAAACTAAAAAATATTTCAAAATATTTTTTCTTTTAAATATCTGTTAAAAAAACAAAACAAATTTAAACAAAACTCAATATTTTTTTTCTGTTTGAATTAATTTATTTTATGAATTATAAAATTATAAATTTTGGTAAAATATTTGAAATGCTTCTTAATTAATAATTCCAATCCCCTTTCTTTTCAATTCATTACTTCTAGGAAAACTAATTATATAAAAAAATTGACCAAATTAAAATATTATATGTATGCTAATTTTATAAAACACAAACTAATTTTGCTTAAAAAAAACCGCGCTTGGTAAAATTATGTCATTCGAAGTAAACCAGATACTTTCTTTGAAAAATTAAAAACTTAATAAAATTGCAAATTATGAATTAATTCAAGCACTATTTAATAAATATTTCTTTTAATTATTGAAAAAATATTATTCACATGTATAAGTTGTAATAAAACTATTTGTTTTTTTAGACAAATAAATAGTTTCACTTGTTCAAATTTTATATGTTTTTATAAAATAGTATTGTTTTTTAAACACTTATTATTAAATGTTTTATAATCTTTTATTTACAAACTTAACTAATTTTATAAACAATATAACAAAATCTTCTTTGTTTAATATTTATATAACGATGCGTAATTTTCTAAGAAAAAAAACGACAACATTTGGCGTTTAATGTTAATTTCAGTTTGACGATGCTTGGAGCAAAGAAAGACTTACCTGAAGATTTTGGCTTCACTATGTGTTTCTTAAGATACGACTTTTTAGAGAGTGTAAGGGGAAACAAAGATGCTTCTTGCTTTAGCATTTCCGATAGGTTGGGTATTACGTTAATTGTACGTTTTATAATAAAAACAAGCTGGGGAACAAGTTTTGTTTATTTTTTGTAAGTACCTACATGAATGAAGGTCATAAATATTCTGGTATTATTCTTTTTAGGAAAAAGATCAGAGTCCTTTTGTGATTTTCAGATTAGGAAAACAGATCAGAGTCCTTTTTGGTAGTAACCCTACAATTAAGGCTTTTTAATCTGACATGTCTCTCTTGATATCCCTGCAAGTTATGCAATATTTGCTATTGTAGTCAAAGCTATTAAAAAGCAGATAAGGAAGATACAAAAATATGAATAATTTAAAAATTATAAATTATAAATCTTTGTTTAATTATCAACATTTAAAGACTTTAAGTTGTCGCAATATAGCAGTAAAAATTATTCAGAAACCAGAAGTGAAACATGAGACGCATGATGAGAAAAATATTAGACTTCAAAGAGCACTTTCTCCACATTTAACGATTTACAAATATCAGCTAACCAGTGTTTTGTCGATAACTCATAGGTTTACGGGTATTGCACTAACTGGTTATGCAATAACTTTGGGCTTAAGTGCGCTGGTTTTACCACACGATTTTTCTCATTTTGTAACAATAGTTGAAGGGTTGAATATGAGCGAAAATACTTTAGTTATTTTGAAAACTCTGTTGGCATTTCCAGTTGTGTATCATGGCTGCAATGGTGTTCGACATTTATTATGGGATAAAGCTAAATTTTTAACTATTAAGGAGGTATATGCAACAGGTTATGTGATGCTAATAGCTTCAATTGGTGTAACAATTCTTTTAGCTTTACTGTAGATCATTATCTAACAATTTGCTACATGTATGAAATTAAAGTTCGTTATGATTAAAAAACTGTAGTCTCATTGGAAAGTTTTGTTTTTGTATTAATAAGTTCAAAAATTTTTTACTTTTATGTTGCAAAAATCTAAATTTAAAAGAACAAGAAATAGAAAATACTATCAATTTCCTTATACAAATTTTTTGTTCGATTTATGAACATGTGCTTTGTAATTTTTTTAACACGAGCAGCAACGATATCTCCGGTTTAAAGTAAAGATTTTGAGAATTCAATAAAATTAACGATGTTGATTTTATGCTTAAGTAAAATATTAAAAAGAATATTTTAATGGTAATGCATATCAACTTTGTTTTTTAAAATGTCTATACTGAAAATATGGCTGTGAAGGATATTCTATGATATATTTTTTTCTTCCGTCGGAAACCGAAGCCCTCATCTCGACCAAGAGGGGAGATGAGGGGGGATTTCCATCCCCATCTACATTATGCTTACACCCAGGCTCCTGGCAAATTGCATTTTAGCCGCATCAAGCCACAATATTTTTTTCGGGGTCACAAGTTCCCTCCGAAGCATCACAGCCGCAGGCGAGCCACGCTTTGCAATCACAATAAGTGCTCCATGGTTCAGTCTTACCCCAAGCACAGCCGACCGACCCCGTCGTCCGCCCTACTCATCCTTTTTAGTTGGACCATCGAGAAGCCTTCAGTCCGGTTTTGAGGGAGACATAAATTTCAAATGTTCGACTTTGGCCTGCTCCTCACAGTCACTCAGAGCACGTAGGATTGTTGTCCTTGGCACCTCAAAACATGGCTCCGGTTCAATTAAAACGAGCCACCGCCCACCTTCTGACGAGACTATCAGCTCTCGCATGTCCATCTATACCACAGTGCCCCATATATACCTAGCGCTCGGTCTTCTGCCACCATATGACACAAGAGTAACCCACAATTGGTCGAATAACAGTAGTGTAGGTTCAATGGACCATATAAGATCTAAGACGCGCTCTTCCACATAGCTTCGTCGAAGCCTAAGAGCCTTTGTGGCTGTAACTATAACTTCTCTAAGACGAAACGCCTAGCTTAGTCGCTGTTCAAGGGTAATCTATGATATTTGACTTCCTTAATAATTGTGCTGCCCAAGGAGATCTGACGCAAACTAAATTTGCGTTGCCTAGAAAATGGTACAATGACTGCCTTCCTACAGGGCATTTCGGAAAGCGTGTCTGAAGAAGAAGCGTCCCAGTTTTCCGGCAATCTCAGTAAAAGAAAATGATCATTAGAAAGCACCTTAAACAGACGGGAAGTTCTAGGGACGTTCTCAATGTCACCGCAGAAACCTCGCGAAGCATTTCCTTTAGATCTGCGATAGCTCTCGCCCATTGATTTTTTTCGCCTTATTGAAAAATCACCTTATAGTCCTTTCCAATGCAGCCAGCCTTCCACTCTACCAGGAATTCCTTCCAAATAACTCTTTGTAGTTTGGCCGGGCTCCTTTAAGGAGTGGTTGAGCACGAGGCAAATATTATTCGAAACTTTGTCCAATTTTTGGATCGACCTGATATCTCTTCCAATTCCTACCAGAACCCTCCTCACTCTATCCCTGCCTTTGGACCAGTTAGTCCTTTGGGGGACCCCCCAAAAGTCGTAAGTTGAAGACAATATGCCTATAATCTGAAAGGAAGACCCGCAGACGAATTCCAGTTCATAATTAGGAAGGCCACAACATGGCTACATATTGTAAGGTCCAAAACCTCTCTACATATTGCGTTTACAAAAATTGTTTCATTCTAATAAGGGTATATTAGCGATAAGGCACTCACCTTTGGGGTTGGTGTTTTCTTACACTGTGTGATGAGCATAGCAGCCCATGATGAGCCTCCTGTTTAGAGGACATAGAACAACTCGCTGAGTACTGTTCAGAGGACATAGAACAACTCGCTGGGGGGGCATAGCTCTGCTCTGCAGGAAAGTACACAGAGGCACAAATTACTCTTTTGCTCTTTTGCTACCAGTTTTGGTGAGCTCTGGAATTGGAAGAAATTATATAGGAAATTTTGTAAGGCACAATGCGGCCTTTGGTATTTCAGATTGATGTGAGAAGAGCAACTTGGGTTTGTTATCTTGATTTAACCGGTGAACCTGCTGGTCAGACAAGTAGATGCTGCTCTAGCCTAATGGAGGTATATTTGGATGCACTTTATCTCATGTATTGGGTTTAGTAACATCCGATACCCAGAAGGAACAAGAGCCTCCGTCGTTTCTCTCATTGACGCAGTTGGACCTGTTCAGGGTGGTAGCTTATGGTGCATTCCAATTACCATAACCTGCTAACCGAAAGAAGATCGACCGATCTCATCAGCAGGACGCCCGTCCCGACGGCATTTTTCATGATGACCCTCCACTAGTGTAATCGTAGCCTGAAATTTTGGCCTCCAATGTAGCACAAGATATTCTGAGCCGATGTTGCGGGAGGTTAGGGGAAGAAACCCCTGAAGTTCTTCGCCTTTGGAGTGACAGCCTCCTCGACTGCTTTAAGTTTTGCTCCTCCCAAGGAGTTGCACTGTCGATTGTGGCTTTCATCCAGTACACTGGTCCTGACAGACTAGCAGAAGCCATCCTATCCAGAAAGAATGTACGAGAAACTGCGGCTTCATGCTGGTCCTCAGCCGAGCCGTTGGTTTTGGTTGTGTTGTCCTGTACAGTTGATTTGCTTTCACTGGTTCTCTGCTTGGGTGGTGTCAACCGTGTTGGCTCTCCACCAAAAGATCCCTTGGAGGCTTTATTCTTTGGACAGGTTCACCTTTGTGTGGATGATTTTAACTTGTCCTGGCAACCTTTGTTTCTCGATTTTACCTCCAGTTTCGACTTTTTCAGATCTTTGTACCAGTGGGGTTCAGACGAAGCCTCTCCGGCAATGCTGACTGGTCGTCAGACAGTAGGTCCTCTTTACCGATTGGGCTCTGGGGTTCTAGCGCTATTGATGTGCTGGCCTTATAATTGCCTATAGACGTCAACGGAACTAAAGTCATTTGCTGCTGGTACGTTTGCCTTTGTTTCCACTTTTAACTCTACATCCAACGCTGACGGCACAATAACCATCCCTGAGGGCCCTGAATCCTCCGTGGTTCGTCCTTGATGTAAAAATATAAAAAACAAAAGTTCGAAAGCTTGTATTTCCGAAAAAACATGCGAAATCAAATAACCCGCTGTTATTTATTTAAATCCTTCTTAAAGCTCTTTCAAAAACTCCTTGTTCGAAAATTTTATCTTCTTTGGAACGGAAGTTAAAGCAAAATATCTTAAGTGTGTTAAAATTTCGACAAATTTTTTAAAATCTCTGTAGCTCGGAAACGGTTCCGATTTAATGCTGTGTTCCGAATAAAAATTTTACGCGTTTTCGACTCCCGATGGTATATGGCTCCTAACTTGTCGGTGAATCACCCTCAAATTTCAAATTACTCGTAAAATCGTCAAACTTAATAAAAACTAATTTAATCAGAACTTTTCAGAGATTCATCCAAGACAGAAAATCTGGAAGTGGCACGTAGTAAAAGAAATCGCTTAACAAATTAACTGTCGTCATAAGTCTGTAGTTACACTCACACAATTCTTATACGTTAGTTATGTAAAATGTTTTTATTTATATAAATTCTTTGTGAACAGTTTGTACTAGTTTATTTTCACATTTTTAAAATTAAAAAGTTAAGTTGAAGAGTATTTAAGGTGTGAGTACATCTAAATGAAATACAAATTTTTAAATTTTTAAACTAAAAATATTTACATCATGTATTTATTCATTTCACGTATTTAACCATTTGCAGTATATTAAGTGCATTATGAGTGTATTATTAAGTGTATGGTTAAGTTAGAATCTGTGAAATTGGTTATTTCTGCTTCAGTCTGCATCCTTTTTTTTCATAGGCTTTTAACTAAACTATTATTAGATATCAAAATTACATATTTTACCATAAAAAAAAAAGAAAAATAAGTAGAAAACCAAGTTTTACTTCAAGTTGAATTCTGGTTTAAATTCCAATCTACATATATTCTGTTATTCTTTAATATTCTATACATAAAAATCAACGGTTTGACTTAAATCAAAGACCACTAATATGTTACATTAGAATTTCAATCCAAATTCTAGTGAAAGATTTTTTGGTCTGAAAAATTTTTACGATTTTCCCATTTTTGCCAGGCCATAAGATTTTAATTCCTGTAATCGACAGAATGAAAAAAATTAAAAACAGAGTAAAAGATAAACCAAAATATAAAAACAAAATTGCAAACTTACGATTAAGGACAAGTAATATGCGAATTTGTTTTTTCCTTTTTTTTACGACCGTCCTTCATTAGACACCTACCTGATCCTGATTTGGTATCTTTTCCGTGAATTCTCAAATAATAATGTTCCTAATAATGTTGCCTGCAAATCACGTTTTTCTTAATATTAAAAATATCACTTTTTTTTAAGGACTACTAAAGAAAAAAGTGGTTGTTTTTACTTTTTAAATGGGGATTTTAAGGCATACTGATTTAAATTAAATTTAAATTTTACAGTAACTCATTGTTATTTTTGTAACACTTTTCCTAACTTGTTGACTTTTCAAAACGCAAATGCTAATTTTATCCTCTTCCTATAGCAACCCTCCATTCAATCTGGTTTTGATTATAACCTTGACATAACAAAAGTATTTCTATCAGTCTCGATTATAATACATATTTATAGTGTGTATTAAGCACAGACCTGAGCCCTTGTTATTAAAAGTAAAAGCAGTATCTTTATATAAAACTTCGGAATCGTGAACTCCTATAACGTAGAACAGACATTATATATAAATATATACATAGCCACTTCTCAGGTGTCAAAAAGTACTGGTACTTCTTGAAGGGCTAGAGACATGGGAAAAAGGCATTAGATAGAGTTTTGTCTCTAGGATCCCGGAAAAATCTGATATTGGAACTTTTTAGCCTCGAAATAGCCCTATTTTAAGATTTTCTGAAAAAATGTTTGTATAACATAAGCACGTTTTTTGTTTATAATTTATATTACTAGAAACACAAACCAAGAAAGA